CTGCGAATGGACCTTCGATGAATGATGAGTCCTTCCTGCAAGTCTACAAGAGCAAAGTCCCTCGTCAACTATTCGCATGGACCACTAACCAGTCAGATGTGGGGTGCGGGAAGTGTCGAACTGGATATTTTACCAACACTGGATTTCAACAAGAGTGCGGCGAACCAATCCGGAAGCTGAGGGCAGCTTCACTCCTAAGGGGGAGGCACTGTGGCGTCGGATTAGGGCGCAGACATGTTGGACCACCTGGCCGCAGCCAATCCCGTGTCTCTCTGCGTTCCAATGGCATGCGAGGAAGGTAAGTAGCCAACCAGAGAAGGACACGACTGAGGTGCAGTATATAATGAGCGGCGTGGCCGGCGTGGTGGACTCGGATGGAAGGCGCCTGACGCGTGGCTCTGGCTTCTGATTGGTCAATAAAGCCTGTTCTTTTGCAGCAGTCTTTTTCCTATTAGGGCTCGGGTATTCTACAGTGACATCGTATCAGGGCGCAGACATGTTGGACCACGCTGGCCTCAGCCAATCCTGTGTCTCTCTGCGTTTTAATGGCATGTGAGGAAGATAAGCAGCCAACCAGAGAAAGACACGTCTGAGGAGCAGTATAAAATGAGCGCCGTGGCCGGCCTGGTGGACTCGGATGGAAGGCGCCTGACGTGTGGCTCTGGCTTCTGATTGGTTAATAAAGCCTGTTATATTTTCCGGTCTTTTTCTTACTAGGGCTCTGGTATGCTACATTGGCGACGAATCAGGGCGCAGACAAATTGAACCACCTGGCCTCAGTCAATCCTGTGTCTCTCTGCGTTCCAATGGCACGCGAGGAAGATGAGCAGCCGACCAGAGTAGGACACGATTGGGGTGCAGTATATAATGAGCGGCGTGGCCAGTGTGGTGGAGTTGGATGGACGGCGACTGACGTGTGGTTCTGCCTTTAATTGGACAACAAAGCCTCTTCTGCTGTGCCAGTCCTTTTCATAAGCGGGCTTAGTTTATTGCACACCTCCACAGGGACACAGGGTTGGCGTCATATTGGATTGTAATGTACATACCAATTCCCATGTCAACGTGCATTGGACAGATCTAGGACCGGTCAGTCCCAAGTATGATTGAAATGTGATATAAGACTGACAGTGAACCCTCTCTGAAGTATTCGCAAGGTCAGCGCCGAATTAATTATTTTGCTGTGCGCTTAACTGAATGTTTCATCTGTTGCAAAAAGCCCGCGTGTTTTATTTATTATGTCCTAGGTCTTATGACAATCGGGATGGTTTCAGTAAATGGGGAATGAAATTGCATTTAAAATATTTATTAAAAAGGCCAAAACAAAAGCAACATAAATATTCTTTTGCTTCATATCTTTGATTAATTGCTTGTAAATCTTTCGTAGCACGTAAGAACAGCATCCTTGTGGAAGCGAATTGCTATCTCTTTCGAACACATGTTAAAAAGGCATAATTAATGTCATTTCACATCAAGTAAAGTAATCACCGTCCATGGTACGGAAATGCATAATCTCCGATCGTTGGTTCTGAGAAACGAACGCACGAGAAAAAATGCAAATCATATATGTCGCTTTAAAATTTCCCGCGAATTCTTGATGTGAACATTTACAAATACACATAATGGTTAGATAAAATCTTAGTTTTTATTGTAGTGTACGTAAACAAGCAGACTTATGGTAAACAAATTACTTTTTAATATTGCTTAGAAGCCTCAGGTCTCGGTTTATTAAGAAGGCTCAAATCATCTATTGAAATAATACACTGAACTCGGAGACATTGAAAGTATTTTAGCTTTATTGATCATTAATTTATCAAAAAACTTTTTCGGCTGGAAGACGTAACCATATTCGCCAAAATCTAATTTAATTAAGAAAGGTGCTTTTGAATAATGAGAACAAGCGGAGATAAATCGTATAGTTTTGTTCTTCCATAAGGCCTTTTAACTTGAGAATATCTGCTTCTTGCAAACCTACAAAGACATAATCAGGCAGACGTGTACATGACTTATACCAGCCTTACAGAATATACACAGGATTAAAGCAATCGTAGTAAGTTAAAAGCCACCAAAATTAGGAAACAATCGGGAAAAATCATAATTGCAAACTGTCAACCGAAATTTGAGACCTCTGTTTCTAGTATTATTTCCTCACATCCACAAGTAGTCTATTGCTAAATTCATAAATGACACAGAATTTTGGCAATAAACAACTTGATTTAACTGTACATCCAGGCAAAAATGGAATATAAGGAATTACAAAAAAACTTTTTTATTAAAAATAAAAGCACCATTAAACATGTCAATGGCAATAAAAGGCGGAAATGTCATGGCTTTCAGATATTTTTGGTTAAACCCAAACGATTTTTGATATTTCGAAACCATTTATTAAAATAGCCTACGTTACCATTTAAAACGTTGTGACTTATTACCTTTTTCTACTACTATAATCCTCTTAAACCATTTTAATTTACGCATAGCCGTAGGATGCTTCAGAGTTCTTTTATTAAATGCCTCTTCGTTCATGTAATAATTTACACAATCGTATTCACTGTATTGACTTCTGTTATTAAATTATTTAAATGCCTTGCATGCAAATTTTCTACCAATGCTAGGTTAAATACATAAATCGCAATATTCTTTCATGTCACTTCGACTTTCAAATATCTATCGTCATCTGACCCCTTTTTTCTAATCTCAAATTTTGCAGACGGAAACTCTAAATGCATCGTCATGTACTAAGTAAATATAATAAAACTGCTTAATTTTCACTGATTTCGCTGCACACGTATTGCTAGTTCATTTAAACCATTACTAGGTTCCAAATTCTGTATTATAATTCATATAATTTTTATCGTGCTTATTGCCGTAAGTCTGTCCATATAGGCTAGAAATATGTGCACAATATAAAAAACCAAATAAGCCAGGCTTGCATTCATTTAATTATTCTAAACGATGTATCAAAGCCCTGTTTAACGTTAAGAAGCACTTACCAAGTTGTGTCAATTTTAACCGACAATCTCAATTGCTCCTAGAAACAATTACGTATAGTAGGTATAATTAAATGGATAGTGTTCATAAGATATTTCAACGTTATATTGGCTGATCTAATTCAATAACCATGATTGAAACCATGTTATACACTTTAACTTTAAAAAGCAGATTTATTAATGCTAGAGATGTGATAAACGGTTCTATGAATCGACATAAATTCTTAGCTTTTCTCAAAAAAACATGATATTTACATCAGTCTCTCTGAAAAAATAATTATGCTATTACGAGAACATAATTTAAAACAAAAAGGTTCAAAAGTAACACGGCTTTTAGTTTGAGAGTGGCAAGAAACCTGTTTGTCCAAATTTTGCAGTAAAAAGCCACCTCAGGGCCGTGCCTTTCTCTCTACACCAAGAATGCCAGTGTCCGATTCGAGGGCTGAGAGACAATCTGAATTCGTTGTGATACAATTTGACATTTCTACCATTTGCGAGATTTACTTTTAGGGCTACAAACTCCTGATTAAAATATTTTAGTCAAATTGATTTTTAAAAGTTCATTCTTAAACTCAAGTGGATCTGCATCCATGGAATATTAAGGAGTGATTTCTTCACCAAATTGACCTCATTTAAATTTCTTATTTTCACATCGCTACACAATTCTCTCAAAGTTTACCTGTTTTGATACATCGGTGATGTTAAGCAGATCCGTCAACTCTTGTTATTCGCATGAATTCACCGTAGGAAAACCAAACTCTATATACATGACACCTATAGCATTCCATTTGAGCAATATTTATTATTATGATCCTATGGCATTCTCACCTGATCCTGGGTTTGGTGTATAATGATCGCTTAAGTAATATTAGTGGCACAGCCTTCTAATAAGAATTAGGGCATGGCCTATATCTGCAAAGCGTACCACTGACCAGATCTAAGCATTTAGTCCTAATATATCCGAAATCGATAAACGTCCTGCTTGGAACCGTCGTCTAACTTTTTTTTCATTTTTGGCATCTCATCTAGAAGTCGCAAAACTACAATAATCTAAATCTAAATAAAATAAATAGGGCTAACATAATCAGGCACACTGGTTAGGTTTTGTGGAAATTGTGCTTAGAAATTTTAATGCCACTGTGAGGAATAGAGATTGATAATGATTGAATTCTGTGTTATTAGGATACATAAATTTTCAAATTCAAATCAAGCTCATACACATCCCCATACTTCTAACTATGCCACCATTTCTGAGTGCTTTAGTAGAAGCTAATAACGTTATTTATCCTGTTTCTGGATCAAATACTTATTTGCAATATCCATAATTATTTCATGCAGATAAGGATAACCAAAGTAAAATAAATTCCTGGAAATTTTTAGCCACGTAATTGTCTTTGAGATTATCTAATTAAACTCCAAACATTTTATTCTACTCTTCACGTTGCAAGAACTTAGCAAAGTTGTTTAAGGTTTGCTTGGAAGATTATCCGTTACTCAATAATTTATAGATTATCAGCACATTTTATTCTGAATGTAGCGAACATAAGTGGTAACATCTTCCCATGTTTTAACTCATCTTCAAAATCTGCATTTACTGTTCTAACACAACACGAAACCAAAGTTAAAGTCCTTAAAATGCATAAAACCTAACTAGTAAGACCACGAAAATTGGCTCCGAAACCACAAATATGAAAACCTACATGTTGATTCTTCATATCTGACACTCCCAGGATACTTTCTATAACCAATCAGTGATTCTTCTCCGCTCGCCTGATTCTGGCTACTTATTCCGCTTTTACAATAAATTTGTTGAAACTGCTTAAGCACTACGTCCACGCTCCTTGCAATCGCGTCGTGTAATTGAACCAAGAGTCCCTTAAAGTAGCACATCACACCCAGATGGAAACTATTGACATTTCAAACGACTTTTAGTCAATCCAAAGTGGAAGATGACCCGTTAGACGTATACCCATATAACCATGATAATTCTAAGCTAAACTTTGGAACGGGGAAAATCCTTCATACAAAATGCAAGTCACGGTCCTAACAACCCGAACTCATATCACTGAATGCAATATTCACATTTACCTTGCCATTGTATGAACAAAAACAAACACCAGAAGCAAGGGCTTATTAGAAGACGGCACCAGGGTTGAGAATAAAAAAACAGGACCCTAATTTCTGGTTCGTGAACTGACCTGCGAAAGGAACATGGGGTCAGCAGACGGTGTCGACGCAGTCACAACAGAAACGCCAGTGTGCTAAACAAGACATGGCTTAAACAATTGAATTAAATGGCAGCCTAGCTAACGTGTGCCAAGTAACTCATTGACTACGGTAGTTGGAGTCAACGAAAAAGTAACACCACCAACATACCGGACATTAAATTTGGCTAGGTCAAAATTTCCACTAACACCTAGTTGCTAGCACACAAATGTATATCTAACTTTGAGAAGAGGTTTCGCGCCTACACGTTTATATATCGAGCCAATGTGCAAACCAAGGAAACTTCAGGAGGGTCGCTGCATTACACACACGATGAAAAGTGCACAATTAGTGAATTTGTACAGGAGACAATGAAATAGATTGCAAAATAGGACTCGCGGTCGCAGGCATCGATACCTCCTAATTGTGCAAATTCGAGGTGGATTTGTACAAAGGGGAAGTATATAAGAGATTAGATAACATAAATATGTACATGGGACAATGTGTATGTTAAATAAGGCAGAATGGGCGACAATTATGATACGATGGCTGCAGCCTGTTCAGAAGGCAGATTTTTGTTGGTGGTCATATTACCAGCGGCAGTCGACGTGTGGGAATAAAAGGTGGGAGTGACGGGTGCAGTCGACGAGACTAGAGCGGTATCGACATCACAAGGTTCTTCATGAAGCATGTCACCACCTTCTGCGCCAGTAGTGATTGGCTATAAGATAAATAGAGTAGGTAACTTCGGGTACAAGTAAAAGCGTTCAACGTGGAGTCATGCATATATACCGACCCAGGTAGCAAAATTAAATGTAACTTCGAAATTGACGGCCCTACATAATGCGGTCTTACCAAAATCAAACATTCTTTGATTGCTATTCTATACATTGCCTAAAGAAAACTTACCTTTAATGGCTTTGAATAACCGGCAACGCCAAGATTTGTACCGCCACCAAGAAGAACGTATTTTTTGCCTTCACCGGCACCTCGAACAACGGCGTATCGCACTGACTGTTGAACTGAAACGGAAATTACCGTCAGAACATATCTTGTTGTGTTGATGAAAGTGAAGAAGGTAAGCTACTTGTGTCGGTCGAAAATAAATGCTATCTTCGACGTGTTTCCACTCATGTGTGCATTTAATAGGAGCGGGGTTACACGTTTCCAAAGACTAATGTTGTTTTCAACGCAATCAATCTGGTTATAAAATAGATCGTGTTAGGAAAACCCTTGATCAATTTGGCTTTAATTTGATGAGTGTGCGATTTAGTGACTTTGGCCATTTAAGCTAACATTAACAAATATGTCCCAGTGGAAACTAGGAGATAGATAAGGTCAATCGAACATTAAACATAGACTGGGGAATCTAGAACTATGCATACGGAGGCTTGGCATACACTCCTGTGAATATAAAAATTGCAAAATGGCAATGTTGAACTTAGGTGTACCGGGGCAGCTAACTACGGATGGAGTGGGTAGGCAAGAGATGAGAGTCAGAGCCGATGATGAAGTTGACGACGGGACAGGCCTTGTCTCAAGAGCCGTGGTTCCACTGTTAGCATTACGCCGAGAACCAAAAAGCCGAGAACTGGCTGTCTGGGAACTGGGAAAAGCGGCTGTGCCCCTGTTATTCGGGGCTACTGCGATGACTCCAGGTTGGCCTGCAGCAGCCGCAGATACAATGGCATATGTAAGAGGCTGGCGTGATGGCTGAACGCCAGGAGCGATGTGAGACGGCTGGGCACCCCTCAGTGCAGTGCGCATGAATGGCGGAGAAAGGTGCGGTGTTGTGGAAGGAGAAATAAGCGGGAGCGTTCTTATTCCGGCTAAACCAGAAAAAATACATCTGATTAAATACCAAATATTTTTCATTACCATACCTTTTAGAAGGCAGCACTGATTAAATCTAGGGGTCTACCATCGTTGTACAAGGACTACAATTAATTTTTGGAATGTACATATAGAATTGAAATCAATCACGCTTAATTAAGATTAATGGCATTAAGATAAAGTTGCAACCAAAAATAGCAAATTTTCGCAAACAAACGAGCTGAGAAACACAAGGGAAAAGAAAATAACAACAAATACTTGATTCTACACACCATTGTGACTACATACACCTCAACACGTCTCCACGTTAAACAGGTTACCGAAAAGACATTAGAAATGTTAAGCACTTTAAATATCACAGTCAAACCCTTCGGTTTTACAAAAGCTGATGGACGACGTACTGTGGCTTGAAATCTTGCGATACTGGTTAGTGGATGGAGTAGGCGTGGGGACAGCGCCACGCTTGAGTATTGTTGGGCGCCTTCGGGAACCAGAGTTGTTGGATGAACTAGTGGGCCCAGAATTCACAGGAAGTGATTTACTCCCACTGGACGCCTGGGGCAACCTGGTGTTCTGCGAAGATCCATAGCTACATCTGCTAGGCATCAGCGAGATCCTAGAAATGGGGGTTGCAGAAGCAACAGTATATCCACTAATGGGTTGTCCGGCGCTGGTATCTACCAGCATTCGACCTAGATAAGAAGCAAAGCTCGATTTCAATCAAACGAAGAAATATCAAGAAGAATAAGATTATCAAAGACTGTGGGTTGCTCAGACTACGGACAAAATGCTATCAGGAAGACAACTCACAAAAAACCAATTTAACCTGCAATAAATCATCGGATGGCTGGATCATAGCATCTAAAGTTAAGCATATTACTACTGCTCATTACACTTGTGCAAGGAAACTTAAGGTATACATCGAGAAAATATGTAGCAATGACAGAAAAAAACGTTACTTACCACTTGGTTGGAGGGAAACCAAATTTGATTTCACCAAGTTATACGAAGATGAGTGGACAGAAGAAACTAAAGTGGGGGTGTGTTGTCCAGTAGAAGCGCCACATTCTGCTGGTGCTGGAGAAGGTTGGGAATGACCAGTAGCGGTCGAGTCAAGCCCAGCTGCAGCGCACAAATCAACCAGACCCTGGACATTGGAAACCCCAGTAACCCCGCTGCCGGGAGACTGAGAAAACGAGGGAGCTAACAGTCTCTGCTGGATTATGGGCGCACCTGAAGTTGCACTACAAAACACATTGATTCTGATGAGAGACGTTTGAGAGGAAAACAAAGAAAAAATTACACATACCATGTGGCACCACTGTGATCGGACTGATACATTATAGGTTCACTGCGAAGAACCTGCATAGGACGAATAGGGGACTTGCGTCGACTACTACCTGATCCTGAGGGACAGTGGGTAGTCACGGAACTTTGAGGTATAAGGTCACCAGCAAAATCCTCAACATCAACCCCGGATTGTGGTCTGATTGAAACGGAAGGACCTGGTTCTGCAGTCCTTGTCAAACGGCCACTCCATTCGCCGCCTACTACTCTAGTGCTATCACAATCCAGGGCAAAGTTACTGCGAACTTGGTGCCTAAAGGCTTCATCAGTATCGGATATCGCCAATTCTGAAAAGTATGAAAATTTCCAATGCAGTTATAAGGCATTGCAGTTGGCTAGATAATTAGACGTTTGTTTTCAAAGTTTTAAGACATTTTTTTCCGAATCCTTAGCAAGGACAAGCAAATCCATTTTACGTCAGCTGGAAGAACCAGCAAATGGCCTAAGGAGAAGCACCATTGCATTCCGAAACATAATTCCAGGAACACAAAAATTATACCAAATTCTTTTTTTCATTACAGAATTTTGTAATTTAGGATTAGCCACCACAAGACATTGTCCTATCTTAGTAAATTCAAGATTATTCATAACTGATATTGCTGTCTGGAGTACATGAAAAATATACAAAAGCATGTAGAAATTACAGGATGCCGCAATCGAACAACTGGCATTTTCAACATACGCAAAAGTAAGATATAAAACGAAGAGCAGTAATAGTGATAGGTAACCTTGATCCGATAAGTTTTAGTGTTTCAAAAATTTAATTGGAAATCTTGGTACGAAACAAGAAAACTGAACACTTGTTACGTGCGATAATGAAATCATTCCCTCAAATTTTGCCAAAACTCAATTACAATGGTTTCAAACTTCCATTAATTCTCAAAATAAATACCAGAAGCACGGACATAAGTTGTCCAACCAAATTGAGTAGAAACAAATATCAAACATTTGTATATTGAAATTCACAGAGTAATATTAAAAAAAACCTAAATAAAAAGTAATTGAACGCGTAAGAACTCCGACGTTTGCAGAAATAAAAAGCCTGGAAAATTTTAAGGGCGACAAGGACCTCAACTACATTGACGTACTTATCGTTAGAAAACACTGATTAGTTTTTTAACAATACAATATTTTTAGAACTCTGATCAAATTGTACAAAAAAACGCCATACCGTGGAATTCTCGACTTGAATACTCTGACATCTGCTTAATGAAATTGGTTCTTGGGGGTGATGGTCGTTGAATAATCCTATGACGAGCACGTTTACTCAAAACAACAGGACCGCGACTCCGAGTAAAATCCGTCATATGATCGTCCAGGAAAATTTCTGGGAGTTCGTGAATATAATCCGGCGTATTCTGCCAAAGATAAAATATATTATTTTCAATAAACACGCATTAGAAAAAGAAACTCATAGCTAACAACGGTTGCTTACGATTAGTAAGAATATACCTAAAATAGTGTAACCTTACAACAACTACTCGTGTTTAAAGCTAAGAACAAGAGTTCGCTCTTGGAAACGTCATATTGATTCCATGTCAGTTGTCTGCTGGTAAAATCTTGGAAACACAATCAGAAGGTTTTTAAATCACTAGCTGCAAAAACTGACTAAAACCCCAAAATATAAAGTCAAACAATTTAGTGGAACAGATGACATATAAGTACTAATTCTGGAGCAGACAGAAGTCGTATGGCCACGATTCAAATATCCTTCGTAATTTTGCAATTAGATGACCACGGTTTTGTTTTTATCGCCTGCATTCGGAGTCAGACTTTTTTAAATTGTAAAATGACTCGTGCAGGCTTTAGACATATGGTTACTTAGACTCCGAGGAACAATATTCGAGTACACATACATGATTTAGCTAACCTGAAGTGTCTCCGGTGAAACAGCTGGTTCCTGTTTACATGAGCCTTTCTTATAAAGTTTGCGAAATAACGGTTTAAGTAAACGATGAGAATCTCCGCCAGTTTCCATTTTCACATGACGATCCGGATAATTTGCAGTTGCAAGAGCAACCCCATCATTTGGAGATATTTGTTCGTCGGTGGCGCTTTCAGCCTCATCAGCTGAAGAGTGGCTATCTGACAACTGCAATTTGTCATTTAAAACTGGGGACAGAGGTTTTGACCTCCTTCCCTTCCGGTCGTGAATAAATGATGGATCCAACGTAGTTTTACCGTGAATTCTTTTACGTTTTCTCTGAAGATTTGCAGAAGAGGCTGCCATTAATGCAACCGTAGAGCTTCGGAAACGCAAGTCGTATGAGGCTGAACGCTTAAGTGTCTTTGTTGATTTGCCTTTGGAAGTTTTCTGACTTGAATCATCGTCATAGAGGAATCGGCGGCGAATATAATCCGATGAATCAACCCGACGCCGACGGGGCTTAGCGTTATTGTCGACATCAAGCATCTTTGAATCTTCAGTGCTCGAAACGCCATGTACATTTTTTACAGGCGTTATCTTTGTGGCCACTAATCCCTTATTAGCTTTCTTTTTCTGTCGCATCACAGAACTCGATGAAGGCGGCCTAAAATTCCAAGTCGACAGTCAAGATGCTTTTACCTGAGTTCAGATACGCTGGATGATGAAATCACACTACAAAGAACTCAAGTAAAAAAAATCACATTAACTTACCGACTGCTTCGAAGGGCTCGATGTCTAGATGATGTGTTCTTATCAGAAATGGGCTTTGACTTTCTGGCTGTTCTGCAAGCATCAAGCAATAAGTTGCCGCTTACCTTATGTCAACACGACCTGGACCCATAATTACCATAGACAATTCAAACTACTTAAATCGTGAGCGCTGTATAGACGAGGGACAGAGAATTTTCGGATGTCTAAATACCATTTTATGGAATAACGTTAAGTTGTACACAAACCAGAGGTAACCGCTACACCGTGGAAAATTTATCGAACATATAGATCGATCGAAAGCGCAGTATAAAATAAGAACAACAGGCACAAAACCCCACAACACGAACAACAACCGTTTCGTATCGACTTACGGATAAATTAAAACAACATTGTACGTTTCGGTGAAATAAAACAAAAAAATCATGGACAATGCAAACTCTTACATGCTAACTCTGCTACATTAGTTTAAATTTTTAGAATTTTATATTTTTCAAAAACTGCTTATATGAAAAATTTATGAAAAAATATCGATTACAGATAATTTTCCCATATATATTTTAAATTAAATAAATGCACATATGCGTATGCATGTTTTCGACACGTTAACTAACATTTAAGTTATTTTCGCATTAAACACGCCTTTTGTTGTCTGTCTGTAGATGATTTGTCGATTGTGGACTTATTCAAAATAATAAATGGACGGACTGCGAATTCGCGCATTAAAATGTGTAACAAACCAAATCCAAGGATTGCATTTATACCAATCATTGATGTACTATGCGTGTGTTAAAGACTCCGCATGTGGTCTCGAACCTCGCCAAAGGCCGATGCGCGGGTTTTGCCAGTTTGATCCACACTCATTCCCACGAAGACCAATACGACAAAGGATGGTAGAGATAACCACTTACCAGGCAGATCAACCTACTTCTGACTCTCGCGCCACTACCCTCCCAAAGTTTTGCTCAATAATGATTGTTGTTGACTGAAACAATCTGCATTAGCCTATAAACGTGCAAATGTCTAAATAAAAAATGAATGAAACGGGTAGCACGGGAAAGGTACACTCACAAGGGTTAATGGGTAGACGATGTCACATGGTGGATACTGATGTCGTAAAAAGGAGGTCAGTCTTAGTAGACGTGAATCAGCATGATTATTTACAAATGCCTTATTTAATGACGCATTGCTTGCTAGCGCCTTTCTGACAGTTATAATACCATACCTGAAACAGACATAAATCCATGTCCGACATCACATACAATTCCATTGTTCGGGTCTCCAAAATAGACAAACACTGAATTTAGGACAGATCATTTGGCCGTGACTTCGACAGGTCACAAGGCCATCCTCTTTATAAAGCTTCCCTCTACCAACCTGGTGCGTACGAACAGTCGTCTTAGAAAATGCAAGATCCGCACCAGTTTCATCTCCATGGTAGAGTTTTATTGAGTGTGCACCAATTTCAATGAATTCTTGCAGAATTCACAGTGTCCAATTTCATTCTGTCTCGCGTTGAATGCCTTATTGGATAAAAAAAACATTTTTTTAGCACAGGGTATTCTAGCAGATACAGTGCTTAATCAATTGGACAACGCACATTTCTCGCACTTTGCATTGCGCTAGATTTGCAATAGACCTTGTCTACCCTCTTCCATGCAGCTGCACTCTACACCTTTGGCTTAACAAAACCATAGCCATGAGGCTTCGGTGGTTACATACCTGAAATCCCAGTTGTATGTTTCGATCACACAAACAGCACTCAAGTTTTGCACTTTGTCACGCGAATGCTGGTGTTGATATCGAAAACACTAGATGTGAAAGCAGTAACAGTGTACTTGAGTCCGAGTACCAGAAGGTAACAAACACGCCGACCTTACCATGAATAAAAGACAATCCGGAATGTTCAACAACCTATGCGTCTTAGCCTAACCAACAAACGCTACAACAATGCACCTTTTGCAGTTAATGCACATAGTCTGTGTGTAGCAAATAATTGCTCACTGTGCTGAATCTGTGCTAATTTTGAGCGTCAGGTGTGAATATCGTAGGTGGCATCCAGCAAGAATCAAAATGTAGGCAGCAGGTAAATTAAGATTAGGCTGATAAATTGCACGGAAAGAGGCCGTACGACAATAAGCACAAAACATGACGTTTGATTTGTGTCTTGAAATAGGCAAAACAATTGAAATGCACCAAATTCTCAATGTAAGTAATCTATAGAACACCAAAATGCATTGGCAGTCATATGACTGGAAAAATTTATCAGACCTGAGCAGGCATCATCATTACGTTACACCGTTGGTTTTTTTCTAAAGTCACAAGGCCTTGTTAATGGCATAGAGCAAACATTACAAACTAGCACTGCAAGACCTTTTGTGTGCCGGAGAGATAATTCAGCAAAATCTACGGTCCATAAAACGGCAGAAAGCATGATTTGAAAGGTCTGACAGGGATTTCACACATACAGGCCGACACAGGAAATGCTTCATCAAAAGAGGACCAGGTTGTGAACCCCTCGATGTGGGACTCGAACACACATCACGATCAACAATCACCAAGGGACCAGGAATAGTGAAAGACCACAGACGACGGCAAGCTGGACTATTTATTACGACGATTTGAAGATTGCCGTTTTTGTGTTACAGTGTGCTAGTGTATGCGCGTTGTCGATGTTTGACATTACAGTCAGTAAATGAAAATCACAATGTGAAAGTTTAACGGAAAACAAGGAGTCAGACTGGACAGTTGGCTCGTGCCTAGTAAGAACACTCGTGAACCGAGCTGATCATCAGCAGATTTCACTGTCAGTTCGCAAACGTGCGTAGCCAGAGCAACCACTGTCCACACAGCTGTAGAATACCCGAGTCCAGATATAGCAAAGACAGGTGTACCAATACAGGCTTTACTGACATGCCACAGGCCGGAAATGCCCCACGCGTGCTGTCCATCCCAGTCCTTACTGGCTACGCTTTCGCCTAAATAGCTGCTTCTTCCCCATCCTTGTCTCTTTATGGCCCGTAATCTTCTCCATAGGCCATTGAAGCACACATTACAATGGACCTATTGAGCTACTGGTGTGGCCAAGCATGGTTGCAGCCTACACCGACGCTAGACATAGTGTATTGTATTATTGTTTACATAAGTAATTAATACAAAATGGCATCGATTCTTAGCGATTACACAGTTAATGTAATTGACGAAAATTAGCCACGGAGCCCTTTTGTGTAAATGGAAAGCACCACCGCTTATGCAATAAATAAAGAACGGTGTTGCGCAACAAACCGTTCTGACTTTTAAAAAGCGAACATTGTACACCCCTGCTCAACACTGTCCAGATCACAGAAAGCCTCCAATGTCAAAAGCATTCCATGAGGCTGGTGTATTTCCAAGGATTTTATTCCCATTCAAAACTCCGTTCCCAGGACCTATGGTAGCTTTCGCTACACCGATTATGATTATTTGACCCATTCCTGTTTTCCGCGTTCAGTTTGGTTCGACCTTGATAGCCCTCAACATTCAGAAAGTTCAAATCAACTCTGTGTCCGTGTCATAGAGGACAATGACAATGACTGAGAAATGTGAGTACTAACAAGTTATTTCAGACAACCAGTCCCACCAAAGCCTGTCATCTGACAATGCACGCATGCAAGTAACTACAGGGGTTGACTCATGGTCTCATTGATAACTATAGCAACCTGGACGCGAAGGAAACACCACCACGAGACAACGGATTGCCTGTAGGGCATTTAAAATACTAATTAATATGTAAGAAACGTTCTTTTGTATATTTCTAACTCTTTGCATACCTCAAGTGTAGAAGGTGGTGGTAGAGTGCGTGCGGCAAGTGTCTTACACTGACAAATTTTTTAAACTTCAATTTAAACCAAAAGTGGTAAGGCAGCGCAAGCGAATGAGCATACCATAGAGGTAATAGTGCGAGTTAGGACAACGAACTCATGCCATTCCCTAGCTTCTAATGGCAATCTATGGCATTAAAATCAACATTTTTCGATAAACAGTCTACATTGATTTTCATTAAATAGTTCGAAACCAGCTCATATAACATATTCCCAATGTTTAAACCACTGACTAATTATTAACAATGTGCAGAAAAATAAACAAAGTTGTATAGGTAAGCAACGAAAATGCTTTCCTAAATAATAAATAAGTGGAGACGGAAAAGTATGTGATGGGACAACTTAACGGCAACTGAGAGTCATACGGAAATGTGTGGGAAAGTTAGACGCAAAACCAAACCACACAGCGCAAGACAATGGATGATCGTTGACAATGCTTGGGCTTTCTGACAAGGCAGCCATTAAGGTTAGTGAGGAGACACGATAATGTTCGCCAAGTTGGCAGATGCAGTCCGAGATACGGGAGCTATTCGAGTGTCCACAAGGAGGTTGCCCAAACCATCCTTCACGCGAACTCGGCCTGATGCGTAACGAGTCTCCTGTCGACCGTCCTTGAATACCGTTTTTAGCGTGCCGTCAGGGTAGACTCTACGCTATGATGGAATTCGAAAGGCAAAATAAATAATCTTTTCAAAGACAAGAGTACCGGTTAGTGATAATCACTTGATGTAAACTGTTTGGAACTTTCCGGTAAGTAAATGCAATTGGGTAATCAAGGATGACCCGGTTAAAGTCAGGCAAAAGGGATGAGTTAAGTGCCAATATCGTGAAAATAGAAGGGCCTAAAAGTTTAGGCATAGACCACGGAGGATCCTGTACGGTGTGCTACTTTATCAGAACACTACCACGCACGTGCCTCGTAGTAATGCCGGCCGTAAGGACGAATACCCACCTTGAATGCTTCGCAATGAACTTCCTGTTGACCATTAGGTAAACTGATTACTTTGTCGCCATTGGAGAAGATTCGAACCGACATTCCGTCAGGTCGACAGGATTCTTCCACAACAAGCGGCTGGTTATCATTGGAAGTGATAAAAGGATGACTGCAGATCTCCTGTTGATGTGGTAAAGTTGCCAACTCAGTAGTTAATTTTGTCGACCGGGTGGACCGTTCCAGCATAGACGGAGCGGATTCGAAGTAAGCCATTGATTTCTGTCCACTGAAAGACAAAAAAACATTAACTAATTACGAGAAATACTCGAACCAACAAATATTCCCATGTACTGATTGCTCAAATAAAATTCGCCTTTAGCTTAAGCAATGAAACACCAGTCCAATGGATGAATTCGGAAACGAACAATAACCTCTTAATTACGAACAGTAAGCAGCACTTGGAAAGAAATTAGCCGGCTTTTAAATAATAAAATTAATTTTAACTTTAGTCACCGAAATTCTACACTTGAGCAGACCTGGACAAAATCTCTAAGCTAACTCGTTACTTTTCCTGTGCTAACGATTTTACATCGCCGACACGAAGAATCAATTCACCTCCACTCGGACACCATCGTCTTAAGTGAGCAGACTGCGGAAGGGGCCGAATATTCAAAGCAATGCTGATAAATGCCAAAAGTGAAACCGCTGAATTTGCAATCCGGGATCGTTGAGAGGAAGGGCATTACACACCCTGATTAGCGATGACGGAAATTTTGGATTTTAGGCTCCAAGTCTTGCAGATGGTTAAAGTCACGGGCGAGTCGTGAAATGCAAGGCAGGCAAATCCAGATCAAACTCTATCACCCACAATAGAATTAGTTGCTATTAGTTAGTCGCTACAAGTGGATCCATACAATAAAATCAAAACTTACTTTCTGCAACCTGCTTCTTCGGCACCATCGGGAAGAGAGGCTTTATCAGTGTCTTCGGGTGAACAGGGATAAGTCTAGGCACAAATAAAGGCAAAGTAAACAGAACTAGCTCTTTGAAACCGCGAATCCTGACTATCGAATCAAGTTATCAAACACACGAAACAGTAAATATGAAGTCTAAAACCTTGGGCTAATCAGTTTCTTACGGACGAGGAAGTATCACGGGACAGAAGTACTAATTGCGATAGCATATTGCGAAAAAATGCCCAAACACAAAGACTATTATCCAATTCTGATGTGGTAGGTGGGAAACTGACTAGATCAAAGATAAAAAAAAAACAACGTCAATTCACCACCCTTCCATCCTCCGTGTCTCTGGCATCCCCATCAAGGGGGCGCATCACTGAAGGCATCCCGTCGGAGGAGACCTCCTTCTGAGCCGTTGGCGCACTTATTTGTCTTTGAACCGCCGCAATAATGCCGCTCCAACCGAAATCGAAACAACCCAGAATTTACAGAACAACATCCAAATAAGGTCGTAATCCTTGGATTATTTTCTCAAGTGTGTTGGTTGACAACAAATATAACCTTAACATTGATTTTGACAACGTCGTGATACTTCAAGGATGAAGAAATATGAGCGAACTGAATTTAACATGAATATGCAGTAGAAAGTATAAACTAATTGAAAACACTCACAGTTAGGACTGATTGAGATGTGCGCTTTAGTGAAACAATGTCTACACAATGTAGGAATAACCAAAGTAGGGAAATCATTTTCTTAGCCACTAATTGGTACCAACAAAGGTGTTTCTTTTGAAACCACTCAACAACAAAAAGCGATGAAAGTAGGTTAACTTACAGCATTATCTGGATGGCAGGATTCGTGCATCGCGGGTCGACCATTGCAGTCAGGGGGGACTGGTGATAATTGGAAACCACGACTTGTGAGAGGAAGATGATCGGTTAAAAGACTTTGGGAAAAAGAAAAAAAAGAGAAGAGTATAAAGCTAATTCATGCAGCTCATCTGTGAGTGATAATTTCGGGTAAATGTCTGAAACAAATGTCCAATAATGGAAACCACCCCTAGTAAAACTTGAAGCCTCTGACATCAGTTGTAAATTGGCATCGAGATTCCTCCATCGGAGTCCATCCAACCCAGTCTCGTCAATAACCTGCACATTAGGGGAATCGACATTGCAAAATGAAGTGACTATGAGTATAAATTCGTTAAGAGAACGCATTACGTGACTTAGCTAAACGGGGCAAGCTATCACTCGAAACACACATAGATCGTTAAAGTCGGATGAGGAAGTAGAATCGACTGTAGTTGAGGAAACAGCCGCATTTTCAGAGTTGAAAATTCCCGAAATGCGACATGAACTTGCCTTTGCTTCTGCTGTAAAGAGTTTTCGGTTGGTTGAATATACGTGGAGGGTGGGAGAGATTTTGCAGCAGGAACTTCACGCAAACAGTCACTGGACGTCACCGAAGTGGATACTTCAGAGGTCGCAGCGAGGCCGCTAGAAATTGGTTCTGAGGATGCTGAATGGATCCGCCTTTGCATCTGACTGATCTCATGATTTACGGTGTTCACGGTTTTCGGACGAAGGTTAACGCATTCCGAAACGGAGCCAAATTGACCATGGACCTTGCATTTAGGGAAAAAAATTACAGATTACACAGTTCGGTTTTAGCCACACTAAGCATAGACTAAAATGTTCCTTCGGATTAGACCAAAAGAAGAAACAGCAAAGTTTTTCTTCCGATGAAACTGCATTTCTTAGCGCATGACTATGCACCTTCAGTCCTCTATTAGCTCCTTCCAATGGTGATGAATTCTGCCGTGAAAAACGGGCCTGCTCCAGCCGTTTAATACGCTCCAATAGTTCAGTCCTTTCGGCAGTTAATTCGTCTATCCGTGCTCGCTGTCGGCTGTTTTGCTGCTGAAGGCGTATTTCCCGTTGAGAAGCTTCAGTTTTTTCGTCGAAAATCTACACGAGGGCACAAAATAGAACGCACTTTTGTATGGATTTCGTGGATAAAGTTGACAGGAATTCACTGGATTATTGAGGCGAATAAATGAATTGATAAGCGGCTCAATAAATAGCCTAGTCACTTTATAATAGTGATAAGAATAGCGTGGCCCATATTGCCTTGGCTGTTCTCGGCTTAACTAACTGCTAGGTGCATCTTCAAGTAATAAAACTTAATTTCGGTAAACTAGATGAAATTTGTACATGTTAGCGAAGGGATACATGTTATGGCAATCAAAAGCACTATTACCGGGAGTGAACCATTTGTACCTCTCTGATCTAAAATTAGGGATACCATTCGTCCAGAAAATGGAAAAATTTCGAAATTGGTAAGCGTTTCATGGGACGAAAGTTTTGATGTTATATATCATAAGCTGGAAACATTAATAAATTACACAAGAGCTTTCCTCATGCATCCCAAACACAAAGTTAAGATATTGCTGTAAAAAGGGCAGTTTATGCAAACCAAACACTGATACACCGACCCCCACTTCAGGAGACGAAATTTATGTACTAAAAGGGCGTCCACCGGAGTAAATTTACCTGTTGTCTTAAGCGTTCGATTTCCTCACGATCACGCTTTCTCGGCATCGATTGCAAACTTCTGTGATATTCGGACAACACTTTTCGCTCCTTCCTACAAGCAAAGTTGACACGATTCGCTTTAAAAATACGCACGAAGGGCACATTTAAATAAAAAAAACCAGTAACTCAGTAAACAACTTTCGAGAGCCCTGTTTGTCGTTTTAGATTAAAAAATAATCCAAGCACTTTTTCACCGACAAATGCTTTAGGCGTTAAAAGCACAATAGTGCATGACATCGCCTGAGTGTAATACTGAAGATTTTTTAGTGAAATTTGCAAATGACACAGGTCCTTAACTACGGTGAATTCTACTAATTAATTATTATTATCACTGTTCACGCATGGCGTGGCCTACCATGAGATGATTCGCCCAACCACCGATGGGTGGCGATATCGGGACAAATCACTCATACTGACACCCCACAGTGCACACTCTAGGTCCTTTCGATACAGCACGCTTGCTGGGCGGAAGCTTCCAATTTCCAATATGCAACGGTCTATGCTGTCTGCCAAACTTATCACCTGGATGCAAATGAAGCCTTCATTATTATTTCCAATTGTATGATTATTATATTTGTCCTTCGTGGAACGCAAATATTTCTGCATTACAAGTATATAGACCAATCCGAGGTGCAGTTGTTGTCCTTAATGCATTTGACCTTGATGTGTTCATTTAGAAAACAATAATCAAAATAGAGGAAACCAGAGGCATTTCACAGTTTCGCGGCACTACAGCTCGTGGTCAGCAAGAAAGGTGCGAATGTACCAAAAGTTAACAAAAAATAAGCTAAAGGCAAATATCGCCAGGCTTATAAAAATACACTGCGCACATAGTCGAAGACCCCACAACATCAATAAGTAGTTTCGAGATGACGAAGCAGGGTAACATGTGGCGAAAAAAAACCAACGTACTTGAGTTTATTAATTTCTTCCAGTCGATAGGTTTCGAATTCCTTAATAGTCGTTTCCTTATATACCTCGAAGTCTTTCCTTGCCTTTTCTAAAGCAGCTAGGTCCTGATTTGGCCGGAGCAGGAACAATATTAACAGTTTATCTTATCATAGAATCAAAAATCAGAAAACAGAAATGGTACAGCTTATACGTAATCAAACAGTAATTTTTAGGAATCCTCAGCAAGAAATCTTCGCCTGTACCTTGTCTAGCATTGCACAGTTTTTGAAAAGGAGAACCCTTAATTGTAAACTACAAGTTCCCTGGATAACGATTTTGTAGAAAGTGAATACTATGCTTAGTGTGGGCTATTTCGCAATGAGATTTCAGAATGAAATATATCTCCATTGAATCCACCAGATGATACGACTTCTGTTACCCGGAATCGCAACTAAATAAAGTCACTACATGTACATAACCCATGGACACCATTACTGAGTTTTCGCCATTTGTAAAACAAACAAAACAACATTGCAAATGAAATCGACATCTTAGCAATCAAGACCCATTTTAACTGAAGGCATATCCTCCAACATAAAACGACCATAGCACAAAAAGAATCCTATGGAACAATCAAATAAACAGACATCTCATGCTATTTGGCGTAACACAAGTAGGCATCGCGTTTATTCGCCCCATAATTTACGACCGGATCTAGCATCGCTTCATGTACCTTTTTGGTAATGTTAATACGCTTAAAAATAGTGATTATCGCAAATGCATGGCAAAAAAGTTGCTAATACCACCAACCTCTTCATTTTTAGCCTTAAGTTTGGCTAATGCCGCATTTTCAAGGTTGAAACGGTTGACTTCAGCCTCAAGACGCGAAATCCAGACTTTGACCACTGCGGATGAAGACGAGGGGGGTCCATCAGGCTGAAGGGCAAAGGTAATATGGTAGTAATAGAGATTTTACATGGCTGATGACGACCTTAAACAAAGCAATGGATTTTACAAAAACAAATGGCTTGAAAGTTCGGCAAACCACAAATAACAAAAGCATGAAGTGAAATCCCATATTTTGCCGCCACTATACACCTATTTCGCATTTACGAAAAGTACCTACACATCAGTAAGTTACATTGAAATGGACCAAGCAGACGACAATTCCAGATGCATGCTAACTGAAGAGTACATCAGCTCGTATTCTGATTTTAAGCAGATCAACTTATTTTACGGAAGCGAACAGTGGCAGAGCAGAAAGCATAGATATAAGTGAAGAAACATCTACTTATTTACCACTCATGAAATTAGACCCACTGGTCAAGAACTTGCGTGACCTAAACAAGATTAAAAAAGACAAATAACCAAAATAGTTTTTACAGAGCTGTCGAGCTTCTTTTCCGTGTCGACCTTCACCGCATCAAACGTATTGACGGGCAAACTAGGATAGGACCGTTGCCGATTCAAACAAAGTTCGTTCGTGTCTGAAACAATAATAAAGGTAACTCTGAAGTTTAAACAAGATAACACTGAAGATCTCAAAATGACAATCACAGTCACAGTTGGGGAGTCTCCACTCTGGACCCAAAAGACCCTAGTTGCACGAACTCTCAGGTCTAAGACAACGCGCAAAGGAATGAATTGTAAATCTGGGTGATGGTACTACCATATCTGACAATTTTTCGCGGATGCAGCTATAATAATCCTTGACACCAATTAGGATTCTGGTAATAAAATATGTGAAATAATACAAGAAATTCGGAACCGTTCAATTCGCCACACGTTGTGCTACCCAGTCTATGGATTTTTGCAGGAGAAGGTTAGGACCGCTAATGTGACTGAAGAACTAGCACATTGAAAAGACGGGATAAAACCCCACAACCCTATGGAATCTCAACAAAAGCAACTCAAATAGTAACAAAAAGTGAAACTGATGATTAAAAATCATGCAGCTGAGTTGATACAATAAAATGGGGAAATACCTGGTAAATCGACAATTTCATGCTCATCCTTCCAGGGAACTTGATCATCAAAATCAGCAGATACCGGTTTAGGGGTCTTCATTGGGCCCACTTCATCACTTTCAAAAGTACGGCAAGCCGGAGAACGCGCGAAATGATTACCCTGTACATTATCGAAACATCTTCAAAGAGATAAACAGAGATAAACAAATTTATAAGTAGAGCCTGATTTTTAAAAAAATTACACTAAAAGTATGTAAAAGCAAAGCTCTTATGGACATGATAAACTTAATTAAGATGACTAAATGCAAAATTTTAAGGATAACAAAAATAACGCTTTGGATCAGTGTAAAACAGGACTTAGAATTAAGATAAAGTGACGGACCTAAAGTAGCGAAAGACTGCATGGATAATAAGCAATGTGTCCCAAAAATATCTAAGCACAATATTGCAAAACCTAAAAAGTTTCATTACCAAAACTATCAACAAAATGAATTAGGGGGCATTTCTGTATTGGGACTTAGAAATTAATAATGAGCACATAACAAAATCAGAAAAAAACGTAGCACATGTAGTAAGACATTTGAGAAAACAAGAACATATTACAGATGAGAATATTAAAACATCAAAAATTAAGGTTAACTTACAGCAGTCCATGGTTTTCCTTATTTTTATTTACTTGCCGATTATCTTTCAATTCAATACTACCGCAAACACCAGTTGTGCACGTGGGCGAGTAGGCGACCACCGATTCCAAGGCCGGTTTATGAGATGATCCATGTTGTTCAGAAAGCTGATGAGACTCAGAGTCACATCGATGCATACCATTACACGACTGATTTTCAGTAAAGCGTTCAAGCAACTCAAATTCCTCTAACTCTCCATCAACGCTGTGATCAACTGTCGAAGTTCCTGTTCCGTGATCTGTCTCACGATTTGTAAAAGGGAGTTCGTTTAAGAGGTTGGCCGATTTCAATTGAAAAGGGTCATTTCCACCCAAGCATTCATCTTTTGATACCGAATGATCTTGACCATTCAGTAGGTGATTACATTGTGGTTGTTGGGGACACAATTTTAAGGTTTTCTTTGGAAAGAAAGTAGAGCCAAAACTACTTGTCTTTCTCTGAGCACCCTCGACTTCGGAAGTGGAACCAGCCACATTGTTGGTAGCATCTGATGATGGTGTCTGGGATGGCAAAAGAGTAGAAGGCCCATGAAATTTTTCGCGTGGTAATTGCAGTCGACAGGACCATGCAGCTCGACCTTGGTTTTTCCGCAAAAATGGTCGCCTTTGTTTCTTGGGAGGCTTCTCAGATACACGCAACAAGTTCTGGTGGAAATAAAATAACGAAAAACACACTGATTTCATTTCATAACAGGTATAAGCTTTGAAATTGATCATCAGATTCACGGAACAAAAAAATCACCAAAACATTTTACTAAGTAAATAATAATTTAGACTTTTGCTTCAAAACACTAAAGGACAAAAACACCAGGCTTCTGTGCAGCCAACAACCCCAAAAAATTGCCCATAAAACAATGTACTGAAATTATTACATTAAACTAATTTTTAAAAACCACAATTAACAAAGGCAAAAGAGAACCAAAATTTCCAAATGCCGAAACAGAACAGAAAATAAATACTTTTGGTACTTATTTGTCTGCAGAACAAGTACACCGTATCAAATGCTTTCCTCACATTATGACCTGGGCCTGTCTCCTCGGACTCCACCTTACTGGACACCACAGCAAAATGCTCCTCCGTCAAAAAGCTTCTTAGCGTATCCTCTGGAGCATAATTTAAAAAAACACCAGAGCGTGATTCCTGATTCGACGAAGAAGATTCAGAGCAAACGGCGATCATTTACAAACTTGAGCACCAGACGTCCCGAGACCGCACAAATCATGATACAGACCATTACAATTCCCGCCGAAAACAAACGCAAAAAATAATAGGCTAGATAAAGTAAAAAAGCGATTATGGGCAAATGAGAAGAACAGGTAGAATTAAAGACACACGGATGCTTATAAAATTCGGTTGCCTAAAAAATGACATTAAATCACTCGTGTAAGTTACATATTTCGTGATCAATTTCGAGTTTATATTAAAGGCAGAGAAATTAATATTAACGATGAAACAAAGCATACAATCCAATATCCCTCCACGGTAAGAACCTTTTCATAACGTTTTGTGATGTATCAGTCTTTAAATGCTATCCAACATTATGATAAAGAGTCTTGGAGTGAACAGTTTCGGCCGAGATCGAACCAAGTCGGAGAATGATGTTCAAAAACATTTAAGTCCCACAGTTGATGCTTAAAAAATTGTCAAAAACCGAAGATAATATATTTTAAAGCGTAAAGCCTATCATGTTTTCCCAATTTTGGATATCTTGGGAGAAAAATATGTAAGTTGAAGGAGGCCATTTCAAACACACCTAACTTTGAAGAAGCATCAAAAATATAACTTTTTCGTTAAGGTCTGTCGTACCATTCTTCATCTTATCAGGGCTGGGGTATTCTACAGTAGCACTCGCATCTTAAAAAAACGTAGAGCAGTAGTACCCAGACATTTTGTATCATAACTGTGAGCATTCGTAGCTTTTGGGAGATGTTATTCGATATTGAGAAATCAATAGTTACAGAACCAATTGCTGTGTCTGCACTTTCAACGCAAGCAACATTCACTGAGCCCTCTTAGAGAGCCGGAGGTTGATACGTATTCCGTAAAGTGACGACCACATAATATAGAGAAGTTTCTTGCTTAAATATGTCCAGGCAAGAAAGGAATCGAAATCCTTAAAATTAGTGGGCTACGCACTTATCAATACCTGATAGTTTACTTGTGTCCTAAATCCTTTCGCTATCATTACAAGGACGACAAAAACGCATAAGTGATAACGACTAGCTGGACGACTTAGGTTTGCCGAAGAGAATCTGCACCATTTTAGGTGCTTAAACATACAACATTTCAATAATCAAGCACCACATAATTTATACGACGTTGACTCCCTGCAAGTTAGGTAAAGGGGCTCTCGCTCAGCCCCGGTAAAATTGCACCAATTTTTGCCGAGCTGATTGAAGTCGGCCAATGTGACCTGCTTATTTGTTGCAAATCAAAACCAGATTAAAAAAAAACAATGCGTGGTTTGTTATAAGTGCTTAAGCTAAATGGAATTGTCGCAATAAATCGCACATTCATTTACATGCAGTGGGGGTATCCTGAACGAATGTAATCAAAATATACATCGGAATCTTAAGACATCAATGAAGTGAATGAGGTCCGTGTAAATACAGCATTCACAAGCTTTTCAGTTTCCTTGGGAAATGCATAACGATAAGCACAGAGTTAACCTAGGCTGTCGAGATGTGGATAGAATCGTTGATTTCTTCAAAGGGTTCATTTTGTTCCATATTCACAGTGGTTTCCTCGGATGTTAGTTCTGCAACGGCAGAGGAAGATTCGTCCACCTAAGTGAGTTTGAGGAACAAATGGATAAAAAGCTTCACCAAGAATGACCACAAATACCTATGCTAACAAATGCCAATGTTTACCCTACATAATACAAACCTATTTGCAGTATTCAAAGTACAAATTTCTTGATATTTACTGAATCCTGAGACTCGTAATCGATGAACTTCAAATAGAAGTACTTGGAACTAAGTATTGATAAACACGACACTTACTTCGGGTAAGGCAACTCCATCGGCAACTACGGACACAATATGCGAGGTAGAGGACACTGGTAAAATCACAGCTGAAAAAGGAAACTTTTAACTAAAGGTTCTGAAGCAATGGATTGCACAGATAACAATCTATGTTAAAATGGTTATCAATAAAATGCGCGAAATTCATGAACCTGATTTACAAACGCAACAGACGCGCTGCAACATAGGGACACTAGTCATTCAGTTGATGCAGTCGCAGAAAACAAAGTTTGCTATAAATGTTCGACGAATCTAGGGTCTTAATGCTTACAAGATTGAGGGTTGGTGGTGGGCTTAGGGAGATTCCCGACCGTGACGTTATTCGCAGGAAGAAAAAGGGAACCGTTTTTGTTGGGACTCGGTGGGGCAGCAATGACAGCAGCTGCCGATGGAGTCGCAGGTAGTGCAGTTGTAGGCTGAGAAAAGATACGTGTTGAGTTGGGTGAACTAAATAGTCTATGGGCGAGATTTGGTGGTATGCCGCCAAGCACAACAGTAAAAGCTGGTGGGAAAACAGAAGTTTGACCGTCGCCGTCAGCAACTCCGGTACCACCTTTACCCAATCTCGAGGCTGGAATTTTAGCCAGACTACGCAGTTGAGACATGTAACTTGTCTCAGTATCTGCTTGTACAAAATCTGCACAAAAACAAAATACAGTATAAAGTGTGATTGTAGACAAGTCTGTAAAAGTAATGACAAGTAAAGGCGCAGATACATTAGGCATGATAGTTGGAACAGGTTTTTCCATCATGAAAATGCGGCTAACAGCCCGGATAAAAAGCGTTTTTGCTAACTAGGCAGATCAAGCACTTGACGCTAAGCTTAAATCCTCTTGTACCTCTAAATGCTGCTCAGCGACTGATATAATCGCATTTTATTAGAATAGGGATGTTGACTTGACGCAATTCGCTTGATTTTACTGACATCGCTAAAGAAGGCCTGCAATACACAACCATACACTTTTAATTTAAGACACAGAAAACAATTTTTCGTCTCGGCAGTATGCGATTACAGGCTTGGTAAGTGAGTGTTTATGGTGAACAACACTATAGAAAAACCGGACATATCGACTAATGGGATTGAAAATGGTTAAACATGTGACTAGAACACATTACGGTCTTAGGAAAAGACAATTGCGACAGCATGAAAAACATTACCATGATTTCATATGGCCGCCGTGTTTACACGATTTTGGATAGGAAAACCCATTACCTCGTTGACGGTTAAATCCCTGATCATTGGTAAAACAGTATGAACATGACGAATATAGATTGAGACCTACTTTCGGAGTTATCATGGTTTAGGAAGTTGTCGTCACGGATAAGGTTTGGCGATCGAAGACCACCTTCAACTGGTTGTACTTGCCGAAAGAAAGGAGGCTCCTCCTGCAACCTAGACATTGGTGACTGCACAGGCACACCCACACGGACACATGGCTTAGAAGTCGACGCAGATATCGCGACAGAAGCCAAGTGATGCATGTCGGTTTCTTGGGCTGGAGCAGTAGCTTGATAGTAAAAAAGGTAACAAAATATTGTAGTAAGTTCTTCCAATAGTAAGAAATTGTGCATGATGGCACGGTAGTCAAAACAATTGCATACTTTAATAGAATCGACAGAGATTCGCGATTTTCGTAAATTGATAGATTTCTTGTCACTTTCAAGAGAAACTCCAGACATCTCAGTGGGTTTCGCAGCTTAACCCCCAGAAAAATGGCATTTGCACAACCTTATCGGTGGAGTCGCGTAATTTTGTTTTATTTTTTGCTAAACAAATAACTTACATTCACGAATAATCGCACCGTTCAATGTTGTGACGGGTTTTGACGTAGAGTCCATTTGTATGTTTTACACTACAACAGATAATAATTATAACTTCATTAATGCACCGGGAACACTACAGAACGGAGCTGCAACGGAACAACGACATTCGCTCAAAGTGAGTTACGTAAAGGACGGTCACGACCTACCACAGGATTTAAAATCGAAAAGGTTTAGACAGGTCAAACATAAGAGCACAAAAACGACATAATTTGCCTTGCAAAAAATAATGGAACAGGCCAAGAACTCAGAATAAGTGGGTCAAACACTATAGATGAAAGGTTAATAAATTATGGAACAAGGCACCCGACATAAAGCCACGAAGACAAAATATGTCAGGCAATACAAATGATTATTCGCTACTTTAGGTCATACGTAAACTATTAAATTAGCCGGCACAGTATGGCTTAAAAATATGGGTAATTGCATAACAGATAACCAAAAAGTTCAACAGCAAGATTATGAATGACGGGATAATTGTAAACAGAAAAAGCATAGAATACGTGATTCGAAGAGCAAAGGCGTGGTACTAAACTGCAAATTTAAAAAAAAACACCTTTCCAAAACCAAGAAGATAGAATTATTGGCGCAATCGGTGTAGAGCAAAAGTCCTTGAAACTACCGCAATAGAAGCAGCGTAGGCGTATTTTAATAAGGTGTTGTTTTAGTGTGGTGTGGCGACGGATCGAGGCGCAGACATGTCGGACCGTCTGGCCTCAGCCAATCCTGTGTCTATCTGCGTTCCAATGGCATGTGAGGAAGATAAGCAGCCAACCAGAGAAGGACTCGATTGAGGAGCAGTATATAATGGGCGTCGTGGCCTGCGTGGCGGACTCGAATAGTAGGCGCCTGACGTGTGGCTTGTGATTGGTCAATAAAGCCTGTTTTGTTGCACCCGTCTTATTCATACTTGGGCTCGGGTATTCTACAGTGGCGACGCCTGAGGGCGCCGACAATTTCGACCACGCTGGCCTCAGCGAATCCTTAGTCAGTTTGGATTCGGATGGCATACCAGGATGATATGCAGCTAAACAGAAAACAATACTTGTAAAAAGCATTTTATGGATGGCGTCGGAGCCTTCTAGGTGGACTCGAATAGATGGAGCCCAATGTGTTGTTCTGGCTTGGGAACTGTCAGTAAAGCCTTGTTTGTCGTTGCCGTCCGCAAGTATTTTGTCAAAAATTTTGTGTTTTTTCATTTTGGAGACCAGAACCGTGGAATTATATGCGATGTTGGACATGGATTTATGTCTATTCCAGGGATGGTGATATATCTGTCACATAGAGGCACGAGCAGGCAATGCGTCATCGAATATGTCATTTGTAATGAATCGTTACATTCTTCGCTACACTGACCTTATCAATCATGCAGTATCGTCTGCTCATTAACCCTTGTGCGTGTACCTTCCCCATGCTACCCGCTTCATTCATTTTTATTCAGACATTTGCACGTTTATAGGTTAATGCAGACTGTTTCAGTCAACAACCCGCATTATTCAGACAGGACGTTGGGTGGGTAGTGGCGCGAGATTCAGAAGTAGGTTGATCTGCCTGGTAAGTGGTTATATCTATCATTCTTTGTTTAGGTTTGTTTGTTTAGGAGATGTTTAAATTTGGTCAAAAAATCTGCATCCGAATAAAGATTACTCGTCTCAGGTACTTTCAAAATCATCCACCCACACTTGCATAGTCAACCCGAAGAAAACCAAAAGGATGTTCATCAAACAGGACTCGTCCGTCGAGGTGCTTGTGCCAACGGCACCAATCACTCTAGTGGCAAATTTGTTGGTGGACATAGACAGCAATACAAGAGTAACGGCAGGAGACTAAAATACGGACGTTGGGTCGGTAAAATAAAATTATTTGAATGGCAACAGTTAGATGTTGCCATAGTCGAGATTGAGTCTCAAGGTTGAAAACAGGTGTTACAGTCATCCCTTTCCGATTAGGCTATTTAGAGACGCTAAAATAGCTGCAAATATCTGGACTAAAATTGCTTCGTGTAGCTTTCTGCATGTGTAATTTTTATATTACACATAAATACGACTGGCGTCACTTGCGGGCAACATGATATTCAAAATATGAAGTCACTGGTCCTGTCTGTGCTGGAGCAAATAGCGTTCCACTGATTTTCGGAGGAGTAGAACAAAGTGGTCATGTGTAAACACACTTCAATTGTGGGCTTAGGAATGTCGATTAAAGAAGCCTGCCATGCGATCGAAATTTCAGATGCATTACTGGTCAGTGTAGATTGCAGTAGCTGACTTTAAATAGACGATTAATAATACAGTCCAAGTACAACAGCGTACTTCTGCACCGAATTCAGCAGGTAGATCCACGATGACCTTGGTTGATTTAACAAATAAATCGGTTAAGTAAAGGGCTTTTAACCGCTAGTGCGTTGCCTTATGGATGCAAGTATGTTTGTAATTATCTGCATAATCACAGGAAAGAGTGTAATTGGTACAAGAAATGCAAATGAAGCAATATGCACACTAAGCATAGTTCTTCAGTAAAATGAACTTTGCCCACACCCAACATCGGCGACTGGGGTTTGCCTCGGCAAGGCAGAAAAAGTGTAATGTTTATTTTTAATAAAGGACTAGTATTAAATTATGGGATTTGGGTAAAAAATACCTTAGTAAAATGAACTTAGCATAAAGTCAACCAATGAATCGGCTGTTCGTGATGGTGGCGTCCTTTTGATGTTCAG